GAAACCCAAGGAGGGGTCGCTATGAGTCGGGGCCAACTCGACGGCACATAACAACAACAACAACAATATATGACATAATAGACTAGCAAGCATAACCCAAAATGCACAAACAGCAAAAGATAAAATAGATGATTGAGACTTTCTAAAAATTAAATTTTTATGAGCTTCTAAATACTTCTCCAAAGGAGTAAAAAGAGAACCTACAGATTGGGAAAAAAAATATTTGGCAACAACATAACTGACAAGGGACTTATCTCTAAAACTTATAGAAAACTCAAACACCTCAACAACAAAAAGACAAATAATCCAATTAAAAAATTGGCAGAAAATATGAATAGACACTACATCTAAGAGGATATTCAGGTGGCCAAGAAACACATGGAGCAATGTTCATGATCATTAGCCATTAAAAAGATGCAAATCAAAACAACAATGGGATACAATTTTGCCCCAGCACTAGTAGCAAAGTTCAACAAGACAGAAAATAAAAAATGCTGGTGAGGATATGGAGAGATTGAGACTCTCATACACTGATAGTGGGACCAGAAAATGATACAACCACTTTCGAAAGCAGTATGGTGATTCCTTAAAAAGTTGGAAATAGAAATACCATTTGAGCCAGCAGTTCTATTACCAGGTATATATCCTTAAGAAGTGAGAGCCAGGACAAGAAGAGATATATGCACACCTGTGTTCATTGCAGCAGTATTTACAATAGCAAAAAGGTGGAAACAATCTAGGTGCCTGTCAACAGAAGAATGGATAACTAAACTATGATACATACACACAATGGAATCCTATGCAACCCTAAAGAATAATGTAGAACCTGCGAAACACCACGTTAACATGGATGAATGTGGAGGACATTATGCTGACTGAAATAAGTCTATTACAGAAGGACAAATATTGTATTAGTCTTTTATAGTAAAAAATCAAGGAAAGGTTTATATGGAAGGAAATTTTCTTTGTTGGTTACCAGGGGTAGGAAGGGAGAAGAGGGAACACTGCCAGATAGGTAGAGGCAAGTGTTGATTTGGGTGAAGGGAAGGGCAATGTACCAAATGTGAGTGATCAACACAGTGGCACTGAGGAAGACACAGAGATGTGCATGGGAGGTACAGACAACAAAGATTAACCCTTTTGGACATACAGTACTGCATTGTCAGTGAAGGCAAACATGGGTATATGGGTGGACAGATGGGGGGACAGGCTGAACTAGTAGGTATGTCTGTGAAGCAGGGACTGTACCCAAGAACATGGATAGGGTTGGCAGACAACAGTCCTATAAGTTTATGTGTATGATCTGAATTCCCAGGTGTATAGTAGAGCTGACAAGAGGCAAAGTGGTAGTCACTGCTTGGTCACAGCCAGCTACCCAGAAGGACTGAGCAGTTGAACCTGTGGGCTTGGGAC